GATAGCGCCGGCGGGGCCTGGGCGCTGGGCCTGCAGTCTCTGGCGTGCCGCGTGTAGCTGACAGGAGAGGTAGGCAGCCGCCTCGGTGTGCTTCTGCAGCTCGGTGCCCAGCACCGTGGCGCGATGGCTGCGGCGGCGCAGCTCCTCCAGGAAGCGGCGCTCTTCCGCTCGCAGGCTGCTCCGCAGCGCCGACACTAGCGCCTCGCGCTGCGCCACCTCTTGCCGCAGCTCTGCATTGGCCGCGGCCCGCTCCGCCAATTGGGACTCCAGCGCGCGGCACTTGGTCTCCAGTTCCAGGGACGCCACCTCTGGTAGGGGCAGAAGGGAGAGGCTTACAACGAAACTGCACAACTCATTGGGCCATATCACAACGTTCTATGCTTCCCCACCTGCACTTCTTGCATGTCTACCCAAATTTCCTATACTTAAGTTACAGTGGCCTTCCTTTTCTTTCTCGGGTGCCTTTGCATCTAACCGATCCCCTGTTTGACCTCTCTAACTCTTAAGGTTTCAACTTAAATGCAAAACGCTCAGAAAGGGAGCCTTCATTTCACAAATATTGATCTCTTACTATTTACAACCCACCACAGCTCCGGAAGGCAGTCCTGGTATGGCGCTGTGGGTTAATGCGCCAGACTGCAAAGCCGTTTGAACTGCAAGGTCGGCGGTTCAAGCTCACCAGCTGCTCCTTGGATACCCTATGCAAGGTCGCTATGGGTGGGAACCGATTCCACAGCACACCACCACCACCACCATCAGGTTGGCAGAGTACTGGTGTGGCGCTGTAGGATGCGCACTGTCTTGCAGGATAGGTTCGAGTTGCAAAGTCAGCGGTTCAGTCTTACCAGCCGCTCCCACAGCATCAGTTTGTCCTACTATGGTGGTATGTAGCTGTGATGCTGGAAGCTATGCTTCTGGTATTTCAAATAACAATGGGGTTACCCATGGTGGATAGGTTTCAGTGGCACTTCCAGGCTAAGACAGGTTAGGAAGAAAGGCCTGGCAATGTACTTCTGAAAATTAGCCAATGAAAACTGTATGGATCACAACAGAACACCATCTGACTTTCTTGATGGACTGGTCATCAGGAGGGAGCAACCGCTGGAGGGCATTAGGTTTGGAGAAGGCAAGAGAGATCCTGAATGAGATAGACTGGTACAGTGAGTGGCCTTAATGATGAACTTGAACATGAGGAAGATTCAAAACCGGGCAACGTTTGCTCTGTTGTACATAGGTGGCCATGGGGCAGAGCCAACTCCACAGCAGCTGTCTGTACCTGTTCTGAGCAATGTGTTAGGCAATGGGGATAAAGTGGATAATAAAAGTCCTCATGAAGCTTACATCAAGTAAATACATGCCAGCAAACAAATGTGACAGTGTAACTATAACATCTATCAGGAAGAAGTAAAACAATAGTCTGACTGTAACAGGAGAATCTGACCTAATCCGGCAAGAGTTCCAAGGGACAGAGATTCTTAGGCTAAGATCTGAAGGCTGAAGAGTTAGGTAGTAAAGAGGGGATGGATGAGTGCTCCAGACAGAGGCAGCAGCTTGTGGCAAGAAAGACAAGGAAAGAGCAAGTGATTGAAGAAATGGAAAGTATACACACAAAAGGAAGTCAATTTGTCCTGCAGCTGGAAACTGGCAAGGAGACGGGGTGGCACTGTGGGCTAAGCACTGGTAGCTATCTGAAATGTCAGAGTTCAAACCCACTAGCTCTTCCTCAGGAGAAAGACGAGACTGTCTGCTCAGATAAAGAAAATAGAACTACTCTTTAGGTGACACATAGTAACCCTACAGGTCAATTCTGTCCTATAAGGTTACTCTGTTACCTAAAGAGTAGCTATATTCTATTCTATTGGGTTGTTATGTGTCAGAATTTTCTGGATGGCAGTAGGATTGGTTGGGTTGTTTTCAGGCCAGAGCCTCTCTGACCACATTAGGGAGTTTGAACACTATATCCTTTTTTTTAACAATTTATTTATTTGATAGGTCTTTCATTGTAGGACTTCTCAGAGCCCTTAAGTAGGTTGAGAATATCCAAGGGGTGGAGGATACATGTGCACCACTTCTAAAACTTATTTGATTGCGAAACACATCTTTATCTTAGAATTGTGAAAATTCCATTATCTTTCCATTCCATACTCCCAAGAACTTTTTGAATACATGTTTTGAGAAATACTGTACCCCTTCAAAACAAGAACTGTATTTTCTCCCTATTTGTTTTCTTCTCTGTAACTAGAACTGGGATCTTGCACACAGAAGACATTCATAGGAATCTCAGAAGCTCAGCTTTGGAACAGGCCTCAGAATTCAACTGGGCCAACGTTCCATGTGGCACGCAGTTGTCTTTGATAATTTCCATCATAATGCTTTCTAATATTACCACATTCACCCTCAATTCTGGTATGGCGCTGCGGGTAAATGCGTTGGACTGCAAAATCGGTTTGAACCTCAAAGTAGGCAGTTCAAGCTCACTAGCAGCTCCTCGGAAACCCTATACAGGGTCGTTACGGGTTGGAACCGACTTGATGGCACTTAACAACAACGAAATGTCCACCTGGAGCCTTGGAGACAATGTGGGGTTTTATGGTGCTATGGGTTAATGTGCTGGGCTGCAAGGTCAGTTTGAACTGCAAGGTCAGTGGTTCAAGTTCACCAGTTGCTCTTTGGGAACCCTATTTAGGGTTGCTAGAGTCAGAACTTACTTGACGGCACTTAACAAAACAAAACACCATATCTTAAGAGTCCTAGTGTGGTGCTGTGGGATAATGCACTGGGCTGCGAACTTGTTTTGAACCGCAAGGTCAAAGATGCCGCTCTTTGGAAACCCTATACAAGGACGCTATGGATTGGAAGGGACTCAACAGCACTTACCAACAACAACAACAACAACATATCTTAACTAAGCAGCTGCAAAGTGCCACTCCATGTCACGTAATGTGCTCAGTACTTCAGAGACAATGAGTAACAGTCCTAATTCTCAGAGTCCCTCTTATTTGGCGACTAAGATCTCTATAATACAAAAATTCCCCCCTCAATATTTTATGGGTGAAGTAATACTCTGTAAACAAATATTTTATTGAAATTATTACCATGGCAAAAAGTCATGTTTTTGTGGGGGAGAAAAAAAAAAGGCTTTCCTATTGTGTGTGTATGTTTTCTACTCATCTAGACAAGTTCCCTGAAGTCAGGGACCACATAGGCCATGTGCTGTATCTCAACATTTGGCTTCTTGGAGGGCATAGATACTGACTACGGGGATTTATCCCACTTGTGCTTTGAGGATGGGTTTGGGGGTGGACAGGTAGATCACAGAAGGAAATTCAGAGGATCAGGTGGAAGTTAAACCACATGGCCATCCCCTTCCTTCTTTGGACAGATACTTGAATACAGGGTAATATGCATGGTGGTACAGGTTGCCCATTTAACCCCAGCTCAATGGGCAAGTAGGGTATCTGGCATCTAGTCTATACTCTGCTCACCAAGGAGTGGTTGTCTCCAGGTCTAGGTTGGAGATGAGAAGACTTGGCTCCTACTAAGGGATGGAGGACATGCAATCTGTTAGATTCCCCATGGCATTTCCTTACCAGTTGTCCTCTTACCTTGCTGGTGAGTTTGGGCTTCTCTCATCTCCAGGTCATGGGTCAGTTCTGGGGTGAGAGAAAAGAAAAGGCAGTTGTGTATACATTTCCGTGTGTGTGATCAGGGTCCCATAGTGCCGTAAAAGTGGCAACAAACAGCCTTAGCAACCGACAACCACCTTGCAACCAGGAAAGGTGAAGAGATGAAGAGACGTGCCCAAGACCTGCCCTGAGCCCCTGGTTGGCTTGATCTGAGTTTAGTAGTTAGTTTCCAGTACAAGCTCTGTAGCCTAGGTTTGGGAATTTGTTTCTGTGTATGACTAAGGAGCCAGGCTTGTATTTGGGACTGGAGGAATATTTTTCCCATTTCAGGGGTGATATGCAAATATCTTCAAACTAGCATTGCAGGTCCAATGAGAACATTCTGGAAGCCCCCTCCTACGAATGGCATTGACTTTTTGTTGTTGTTGTTAAGTGCCATCAAATTGGCTCCAACTCCAAACCCTGTACAGCAGGGTTTCCAGCAAGTGGCTGGTGGGTTTGAATGGCTGTCCTTGTGGTTAACAGTCTAGTGCTTATCCTACAGTGCCACACCAGAACCCGTTAGTGTTTGGTTAGGATGTGGGGGCATGGGGAAGGCTGGAGTACCAGGGCTGCACGGGGCACTTGAGGGGTACTCAGCACAATGGCTATTTACCAACCTAAACAGACCTGTTTCACTATTTTAATAGCCAGTACTGCTGTGTCTAGGAGTGCTGGTGTGGCGCTGTGGGTTAATGTGCTAGACTGCAAGGTCGGTGGTTCAAGTTCACCAGCTGTTTTCGGAAACCCTGTACAGGGTCGCTATGGATCAGAAATGGCACTTAACAACAACTGCTGTGTCTACGCTATTTTTCCAACATCAAATCTGCCCTTTCGCAGACCCAGGCCTTGCCATAGTCCACAAAGCAGGAAGAACGGCTTCAAGTAAGACAGCGCCACCTGGTGACGGAAACCTTCATCAGTGTTGGGCTCGGAGCTGAGGTAGTGGGTAGGTGGCTAAGGAGCCATTGGAGCCATTTTCTCCCTGAAATGCGGTGTCTGGGTCTAGCTCCTCCTCAAAGTCCCCACTCCTTAGTGCTCAGAACGTCTCATCTCTCAGTCCAGCTGAGTTGGATACTTTTCCCAGCCCTACCCAGCTCCACTCTCTAACTCCATGGGGACTAAAGAATGGGAAAAGGCAGGAGGGAGAGCAAGTGCCACAAAGCTGTAAGGAGAACTACTCAAGGGCCCACCTAAATAGTGCTCCAAAGGAACAGCTGTGAACCTTGGGGTGAAGTGGGGAAGGTTGCATATCTCTGGGTCACCACTCACTAGCACCCTATGATAATGATTAGCTTTGCAGTCTCACTACCTGATCCTCTTTGGGGCCTTTACTAGGTTCTTCTAAAGAACAGGGACTTTGTTAGAGGTGCTGCCTCTGGGGAAGCCAACTGTTGCTAGGAAACAGGGAGCCTTAGGTGCCTCAGGCCTTGAGCTGTGACCGGAGTTTGAACCTCCTCCCTGGGGTCTCTGTGGGCACTCTGATGCCTCCACCCAGGGCTCACAGGGACTCACTTGGCCCCACCTCTAAGGCTCTAAGATGTAGCCCAAGGGACCTTGACTCAGGACCTGCCACTCACTCATGGGCAGTTTGCTCCTCAGGCCGAGTCCGACTTGACTGAGGCTAGAAGATGGATGGAGTCTCAACTGTGCTTCACATCCTTACCAACAAATCTCTGTCCACTTTCCAGCCAGATTAGTGAGCTGTGTGACCTTGCACTAATAATGGCATCTCTCTGAGCCTCAGTTTTCTCATCTGGAAAATGGGGACAAAACAGAACCTGCCTGGGGGTGGGAAAAGGTTTGCCAGGATGAAATTAAGAGGAAGTAAGCAGAGGGCTCACCCCAGAGCTGAATCAATGCTCAATACAGGGGAGCAGTTCTGAAAAGATCTACCTTCTGTCTAGCCCCTTAATTCTCAGTCTCTACCATTCCTGACAGGGAGAAAGTAGAGGTTTTCTGCTCCCATAAAGATTTACAGCCTTGGAAACCCTGGTAGCGTAGTGGTTACGAATCGGGCTGCGAACCGCAAAGTCAGCAGTTCGAAACTACCAACTGTTCCATGGGAGAAAGATGAGGCTTTCTGCTCCCGTAAAGATTTACAGCCCTGGAAACTCTGTACAGGGTCGCTATGAGTCGGAACCAACGCCACAGTACATAACAAGAACTATGAGTCAGAACTGACTCCATGGCACATAACCACCACAACCACCACCATCGCTGCCACTGCTGCCAGGCTCTCCCTTGGCTCTTCTCCTACTAGTGCCCCTGCCTCCCAGCCTCTAGGTCTGTGTTTAGACGCCTCCCCTAGCTTCTTTGTTCTTTTCGCTTCTTACTCCCTCCATCCCTTGGAGGTAGAGCCTTATTTAGTCATACAACCCCAAGAGTGGCTGCTCCAGCCCAGCCCTGGGTTATTTTTATCTCCTTAATCAATAACCCAGAGGCTGCAGACCCACATTGTCTGGGGTGGCTGAGGCCCCTCAGGTCCTGTCTGTGATACTGGCTTGGGAGACCTGGCCTTCATCCTGAGCAGGGTCATCCAGGTCCTCAGAATGAGGGCAAAGCAAAAAACAAAAAACAAACCAACAGAACAGTCAGAGGTAGTGCTGTAGGGTGTCCTAGAGTTCCCTAGCTCTAATTTTCCTTTAATGTTGTTATTGCAATGAAGAAGTGGCATGGGGCAGAGGTGAGTCATCAAGGGCCATCCCTGGACCCTGGACCTGCCTCTGCAACCAGCCAGTCTGCAGAGTGATGATGGGAATCTGATCTTGGGATGCGGCAGTTGAAGCTGTATATGAAGCTGGAGGAGGTGGTAGTTGGGAGTCAGGACTACTGGTTTCTCACACCAGTGTGGGAAGGTCAGCCAGTCACTCAAATCCTCTGAGCCTCAAAGTTCCCATGTTTGGGGTAGGGAGGGATAGACATCAAGCATCTAAGAAAATGTACAGAAAGATGCAGAGGCACATAGGACCTAGAGTCTGGCGCTCTGGGTTTTAATCCTGGCTTGGACACTAATATATTGCCTCACTGTCTCTCTTTGAGCCTCAGTTTCCCTTCTAGTATAACAAAGAGGTTGGGCCCTCTCAGCTGGGACATTCTATGAGTCATTGGCTCCAAAGCCTGCACTTGACACAATGTGTGCATGAATTATTAATTGGAAAACTAATGTGCTGTGTAAACTTTCACCTAAAGCAAAATAAAATGTTCCAAACAATGATAAAGCCTGCGTTGGAGACAACTCAACTTGGATGAGCACTTGTATTAGTCAAGCTTCTGAGAGGCCCAGGCAGTAGGGGTCCAAAGTTTGGAGCAAAGGCCAGGCCTGGGATCCAGCTCATCCTTGGCTCCTCTCTCTGCCCTGCTCACAAATCCTGTCAGTTAAGTCCCTTCAAACTATCTCCCAGTGGTCTTCTCCTTCCCAGCCGTCCTCTATCTCTCCCCTGGACTATCTCATTGGCCTTGTTCCTAGTCTTCCTTCCTCCCCCTCTCACCAATTCATCTTCTATCCAACTGCGAAACTGAGTTTCTAAATGCAGCATAATTTTGATTCTGCTCTTCAAGAACCCTTCCATGGCTCCAGGAGGACAGGCCAAACATCTCAGCTATCCTGATATTTGTCAGGATTTTCCACTGGTGACTTTAATTCTCAGCAGTTCCCTTTAAGCAGTCTTATCCAGTTAAATAAAACTTTTCACCAGGTCTGGTTTCCTACCTCCTGGCCTTTGCCATGCTGTTCCTTTCATTTGGAATGCTTTCTCTATTCCCATCTTCTGAGATTTCAGTGTGTCTAAATCTCATTCATACTTTTTTTAAAAAAATGTTTTTATTGTGGATTGAGTGAAAGTTTTACATTCAACAAATCATACACCTTGTTTCATGACAAGGATTATAATCCCCTCCATGTATCATCAGTTAACAGTAATTCTCTCTATTTACTTTAGCTCTTTTTCTTTAAACACACAGGCATATATAATAATTTAAATAACCAAAAGGCACACTCTGCAAGTCAGCCTCCTGGCCACCATCTCTTAGTCCCTCTCTTCCCATGAATCTAGAGTCCTCAGCTACGCCCTCTCTCCATATTCCCATCTCTGCCTCCATCTCTGGTGTCGCTGCTTCTCAGGGATAAGGTCTTGCATTCCGCTTGTGCTCTCGTCCCTTGATAGTCCTAGGGTCCTTTGTTTGTGGACTGTAAGATTAACTATTTCCCTGTTGTTGTTTTTTTTTTTTTTTTTACAAAACTTCCACCTTTACAATTGTGACAGTCACAATTAGTTATGATAACAATTATTTACTATTGCATCATATGAATCTTATCCCCATCTCTTTTCACCAGATCCATCTATACAAGATGACAACTATTCAGTGAGGACTCTTTCTTCCCCCACACACCATTAAACTAAACTCCCCCTTGAAACCTTGTAAGCCAGTCACTTCGCCCTTTATTGCCCCCTCATTTTAGGTAGCCAGTGTCTTAGTTGCCCATGCCTATCTACCCTTTGTACAGAGGGGATAGCATTGATACTTGATGTGAACACTCCTTCCCACTCTGTTGGTATTTAGCGTTACTACCTCCATGAATATAGGTCAAGTTTGTCAAATTGTAGCATTTTACTCTCCTTTCCTTTATCAAAAATTGTTCTGTTCTTTTTTTTTTTTTTTTTTAATCTTCCTCTAGTTGAGTTCTGATTATCAAGCCATCGAGGCTATGTCCAATGGTTACTATCTGCAACTTTGGGTGTTCTTGTGCACCTCCTTTCACTTCGTATCAGCTGGTTGTTTCACTCTCAGCTATAGCCCTCCGTGGCTAGGTCCTTGTCCATGGGCTCAGGTGTCCCCGGGTCTCACCATACTTTGGACCAACCAGCCCTTCCTCTTCTCTCTCTCTTCTCAAGGTCAACGGGAGTCTATGGAACGTGGTGGAACTCAGCCCATTTCTTCATTGCTGCCTTTCCCCCTCTTCCTCTCACCAATAAACCAACATGGTTGCCAGCAAGCTTACATGCCTGCTCATGTTCCCTTTGAGTTTCAGTCTTAGAGGGGGGTTTGTCCTGAAGGGACTTGATTGCTTGCCTTGATGGCTTCTTGGAGAACAACTTGCTTATTCTTGTAGTAGCCAGTCATACTGCCGTTTTTTTTTTTTTCCTGATGATCTTTCTTTGAAGATGTATCTTCTGTTGCTCTAGCTGTTCCAGGCTAGTCTGCTTGCCCTTGCTAGTAGGAATGTCCCATCTCAGAAGGTTCTGGAGGGGGCTCAGGATTCCACCTAAGGTCCTATACTCTGCAAAGGCTCTGCAAGAAGCCAATTTCACTTGGCAAGTTCTAGCACCCCTTTTAGGTATTCCAATCAATTATAGGCTGAAGACGGGCTTACAAGCTTTCTGTAATTGTGTTTCCCGACATTCCTTCCTATCCAACTCAAGTGTCCATTTTACAATAGTAGGCAAGGGAAACCAATATACGTAAGGCAGTCAAGCGTTTTAGTATTATTTCCCCTCTTCAAACTATGCTTTGATCCCTATATCACAGAGACCTGTTGTTCCAAGGTTGAGCTATGCATCACTATTTACCTCTGTCCCACTTAGCCCATGCAAACCTGTCTCACTGTTCCACTATCTACCTCGTTCTTCCACCCCTTCCCCTTCTTGTGTATTGCCCTCCCCAACACCTGCCCCTACCCTGTGCTAAATCGCATTCATTCTTAAGGAGCTGAAGTGCTCCTTCTCTGGGGAGCCTCCTCCATCATTCACTTCTCAAGCTGGACATCACAGTCGCGCCCATGAACTATCACATACTGGCCTATGTGTCTCTCCAACTTGACCAAGGCCATCCCGAGGTGTCCTGAAACTGTTACTGAACCTCCCCAATTCTTGTTTCCCCATCCAGAGAAAAAGGGACAAACACCCATTTGTCAGGACTGTTGTGTTTAGAGAGGCTCAAAGTGGGCACCTCTTCAGAGACAGGGATGATGATGACGATGACAGTCACCCCTCTCCACCCACCTGGTCCTATTGTGGCCTCACCTGAGCAGCGTTTCTGCAGCCTTAGGATCTCCAGGTGCAGGTCACGGAGCAAGGCCATCTGCTCCTTTTTCAGGAAGCTGATGTGACGCTGCACACTCTGGATCTGATGCTCCAGGGACACGGTATCCATGGCAACCCAGACCTGGGCCCCACCTGAGGAGAATGACAAGATGAACCCTGCTGGGTAGTCTGTCCTTCTCCCATCTTTAGATTCCTCATTGTCTCCTCCACTCTGGGGCCCTGTTGCCACCACGTTGGCAATTTTACCATTGCTGTCACTTTTATTTTGCCACTGAAGCTGCATGAACAAATCAGCAACTTGACAAGGAAGTGTAATTGTTCCCATTTAACAGATGATGAAGCAGAGGTCCAGAGGGAAATGCCTTCAGTCCCATGCCCCTATGTAACTTCAGCCTCTTCTAGTACTTCTCAGATAGGAAAACAAATGGGACAGAAAAGTCAATAAGGAGGACAGAAGACTTGGGTTCTAGCTTGGCCTGAACCAGCTGTTGGGCTTTGGGCAAGCTGTCTCTCCTTCTAAGCTCTTGGTTTTCCCATGGGTAGAATGAAGGGAGTGTGAACTGGATGAACCCTGCCCCTCTCAGCTCAAACATCCCATAAGTATCCAAGTTCAAAGACAGCCATCAGCTGACAGAGCAGCATGGCTGGTCTGTGCACAGCCCTCTCTCAGTTTCAACTCCTTTTTTTCTGACTTCACCCCAACCCCAGGCTCTGAGCTCTCCTCTGTCCTGTAGTCCCAAATGAGGAGAATCTGGTGAATGTTTTATTTAGGAGAATTCTGTGGGTTAAACGTAGGTGGTGCAGTCACTTTAAAAGAAGAATGGGGAAAGAATGATTGAGGGACCAATGCAGTGAATCCCGTATGATGGAGGGGAAGGTGTGCATTCCTGAATCTGTATCCCTACTGTAATGATGCCCTGGCTTTCCAGTGTTTCCTTTCCACCTAGGAAACCCACTGTCATTAAGTCGATTCTGACTTATAACAACCTTATATAGCAGAGAACTATTCCTTAGGTTTCTGAGACTGTAAATCTTTACAGGAGCACACAGCTTTATTTTTACTTCCTTGGAGCTGGTAGTGTGTTTGAACCACTGACTTTGTTGTTAGTAGTCCAGTGCTTAACCCACCCACAGTGCCACCAGGACTCCTTTCTGTATGATACAGACCTAGGAAAACAGAGGCAGAAGAAGGCACAGACCCAGACCTGTGGAGCACAGGATCCAGAGACGATGCCTTCATGCCTTCAATACTAAGTATTCAATACTTAGTAGAAGCTACCTAAGCATTGAAAGGACCTGCCGCTACGTGCCTCAAGAATTCCGTGGGCAGTGGAAGAGGAAGAGCAGTATGATGAACAGTTCTGTTAAGTACATGATCTCTTCCAAGGCTTCCACGTAAGTGTCTGCAAATCTAGATTTCATTTGTAGAGTCACATCAAGTAGAGTCTACCAGAGAACACCACTTTCATAGCTCTCTTTTGGATCCCTTTCACTGTCAGCCCCTGACCTCTGTAATCTGATCCAATACAGCTTTCATTTTACCATTGGATGGGTGACCCTTTGGCTTGTGAGGATCACTGGCTGCATTTACTGACCATCTGCTATATACAAGGGATTTTATACACATTATCTTCCTTCTAGTAGGTACTGTTGTTGTTGTTGTGTGCTGTGGAGTCAGCACCAACTCATAATGACCCTGTACAGGGTTTCTGAGGCTGTAAAACTTGACGGGAGCAGAAAACCTCATCTTTCTTCTTCAGAACAGCTGGTAGTTTCGAACTGCTGACCATGAGATTAGCAGCCTGATTTGTAACCACTATGCTACCAGAACTTCTTTTACTACCCCATTTTACAAAAAAAAAAAAAAGGCTCAGAGAACCAAAGTGATTTGTGTCAGTTCACATGGACAGCAGACCCAATTCTCCAATCCAGTCTTTTGATTCCAAAAGAAAGTTTTTGATTCCAAAGAAAGTTCCCAGTATCTGCATTTGGGGTTCTGAAATCAGAAAGACCTGTTTGGATCCTGGCTCTTTCATTTACCTATTGTGTGACTTTGGGCAAACAAGTTAACCTCTCTGAGCTTTTTTGCCCTTCTCTATAAAATAGGGCTACTAATAGTAACCAATAGTAATTAATAGCACAGCTCAAAATGAAGAGAAACAGCTGTAAACATCCATTAATAATTGGAACACGGACTGTATGAAGTATGAATCTAGGAAAATTGGAAATTGTTAAAAATGAAATGGAATGCATAAACATTGATATCTTAGGCATTAATGAGCTAAAATGGACTGTTATTGGCCATTTTGAATCTGACAACCACATGGTTTACTATGCTGTAATGACAAATTGAAGAGGAATGGTGTTGCATTCATTGTCAAAAAGAACATATCTAGATCAGTCATGAGGTACAACACTGTCTGTGATAGGATAATACTCATGCGCCTACAGGGAAGACCAGTTAATACCACTATTATTCAAATTTATGCACCAACCACCAAAGCCAGTAAGGATGAAATAGAATAATTCTACTAACTTCTTCAACCTGAAATTGATCAAACATGCAATCAAGATGGATTGATCATTATTGGTGATAGGAATGCAAAGGTTGGGAACAAAGAGAAAGGATCAGTAGTTGGAAAATATGGCCTTGGCGATAGAAAAGATGCTGGAGATCACATGATAAAATTCTGCAAAAGCAATGATTTGTTCAATTCAAATACCTTCTTTAGACAACGTAAGAGACAATTATACACATGGACCAGCACAGAGATGCTAAAGCAAATGGAAGAAATGAGGAGGTACAAGAGCTGAACAGAAAATTTCAAAGGTCAGCTCAAGAAGACAAAGTCAAATATTACAACAAAATGTGTAAAGATCTGGAATCAGAAAACAAAAAAGGATGAACACGCTCAGCATTTCTCAAGTTGGGGGAACCGAATTAAAAATTCAAGACTTGACTTTCGTTGTTGAAGGATTCTCTGGGCAAATTATTGAATGATGCAGAAAACATCAAAAGAAGATGGAAAGAATACACAGTCACTGTACCAAAAGGAAATGGTTGATGTTCAACCATTTCAAGAGGTAGCATATGATCAAGAGCCAATGATACTGAAAGAAGAAGTCCAAGGAGCATTAAAGTAATTGGTAAAGAACAAGGTACCAAGAATTGATGGAATAAAAGTTGAAATCTTTCGGGAAAGTGAGGCGGCACAGGAGACACTCACTCATCTATGCTAAGAAATTTGGTAGACAACTATCTGGCTAACTGATTGGAAGAGATCCTTATTTGTGCCCATTCCAAAGAGAGGTGACCCAACGGAATGCAGAAATCATTGGACAATATCTTTGATATCTCATGCGAGTAAAGTTTTACAAAAGATAATACAGAAACAGCTGCAAGCATATATTGACAGAGAACTTCCAGATGTTCAAGCTGGATTCAGAAGAGGACGTGGAACAAGGGATATCATTGCTGCTGTCCAACAGATCTTGGCTGAAAGCAGAGAATACCAAAAAGATGTTTACCTATGCTTTATTGACTATGCAAAGTCTTTCAATTGTGTGGATCATAAAAAGCTATGGACAACATAGAGAAGTATGAGTATTCTGGAACACATGAGGAATCTGTACATGGAACAAAAGGCAGTTGTTCAAACAGAACATGGGAACACTGAATGGTTTAAAATTAAGAAAGTGTGTGACAGGGTTGTATTCTTTCACCATACTTATTCAACCTGTACGCTGAGCAAATAGTCCGAGAAGGTAGGTTATATGAAGAAAAATGTGGCATCAGGATTGGAGGAAGACTCAGACTCATTAACAACCTGCAATATGCAGATGATACAACCTCGTTTGCTGAAAGTGAAGAGGACTTAAAACATTTACTGATGAAGATCAAAGAGCACAGCCTTCAGTATGGATTACATCTCAATGTAAAGAAAACAAAAATCCTCACCACTGGACCAATAAACAATATTCTTATCAACGGAAAAAAGATCGAAGTTGTCAATGACTTCATTCTTCTTGGATCAACTATCAACACCCATGGAAGCAGCAGTCAAGAAATCAGACGACATATTGCATTAGGCAAATCTGCTGCCCAAGACCTTTTTAAAGTGTTGAAGAATAGAGATGTCAGCTTGAGGACTAAGGTGCGCCTGACCCAAGTCATGGTATTTTCAATAACCTCATATGCATGCGAAAGCTGGACAGTGAATAAGGAAGACCGTAGAAGAATTGATGCATTTGAGTTATGGTGTTGGAGGAGAATATTGAAAGTGCCATGGGCTGCCAAAAGAACCAACAGATCTGTGTTGGAAGAAGTGCAGCCAGAGTGCTTCTTGGAGGCCAGGATGGTCAAACTTTGTCTCTCATACTTTGGACATATTGTCAGAAGGGACCAGTCGCTGGAGAATAGGTATCATGTTTGGTAAGGTGGAGGGTCAGAGAAAAAGAGGAAGCTTGATGCATTGGCAAAGTGGCAGCATCAAGGGGCTCAAGCGTGGCAACAGTTGTGAGGACCAGGCAGTGTTTTCTTCTGTTGTACACAGGGTCGCTAAGAGTCAGTACCAACTCGATGGCAACTAACAACAACAACAATAGTAACTATATCCTGAGGCATGTAGGTCAGCAAAAATGAGGCAAACCCTCAATGAGATGGATTGACACAATAGCCGCAACTGGACTTAAACACACCAACAGTCATGAAGCTGGCAGGCAACAGGTGACGTTTCCTTCTGCGAAGCATCAAGTCACCATGAAGCAGAGCTGACTATAGCAACTAACAACAACAACAAGGTGGTTGTGAGGATTATTAAGAAATGTAAAGCCTTTAATACAAGATCTGCCTTAATAAATGCTACATCCCTTTTCTCTTCTCTACTGTGTCTATTGAATGTGTGAGTAAGTTAATCCCTTGTCTTGATTTGCTCATTTGTCCTTCCATTCATTCAATGATCTACTATTGCCAAGCATTGTGCTAGGCATGAAGGATACAGTGAAGAACAATCCCAAATCCTTGTTCTCATGGAGCCCACAGGGCCATTAGGCGAGAGACATCAAACAAATAATAATGTAAATAAATATGTAACTACAAACTACATTAAGTATTATGAAGGAAACATACAGGGTGCTGCAAAAGAATGTAAAGGAGAACCTGCCTAATTTAGGAGTCCTGGTATGGTGCTGTAGGATAAGCACTGGATTGCAAAATTGGTTTGAACTGCAAGGTCGGCGGTTCAAACTCACCAGCCACACCTTGGAAACCCTATATGGGGTTGC